TGGGGGGGGGGGGGGGGCATGGCCAGAGTCTGTGGTTCTTAAAGCCCTTTGCATGTGATGAGTGGCCTTGTTTGAGCCTCTTCCTGGTGAGTGTCTGTATTGCGGCGTTACCCCTCGGGTTAGACAACCACCCTTCCCATTCAGAGCCTTTCCAGGAGTGGCCCCTAGCCTATGCCACTTGCTGCCTCTGGCACCTCCCCATTGGGCTGTTCTCCTTAAAATAGGAAAGAGAGGCTGGTGGAGGGCAGTAGCTGCAGTGTTCCCTGGCCCGGCCTCCTGCTGGGTCGAGCGGTGATAGTTACGGGGTTAGTGGGAGCCCACAACAGCCTGGGCCCTTCCTAGGGCGGAGAGCACCTCATGCTGGGCTGCCAGCGGCAGTGGGGCCTGAGCTGGATTCTCAGAGTACGAGCAGGCTGCCCACAGCATTTTCTGTGAGGGGGCTCTTGGCTCTACCCCCATCCACAGTAGCCGGTGTGTCTCGGCCTTCAGGGCCTGCTGCAAGGTTCCTCCCTGGGGAGTTGGTTCTGCCTGCAGGAGGGTATTGAAGGGGGATGAGTCCTGGGGGGAGGGAGGGGGGCTGTAGCTTTGGTCTTGGCTGGGGCACCTACAGCCTTGTCTTACCCCTCCCCCCGTACAAACCTCAATAAACAAAGCTGATCCTGGGTTAGCAGAACTACGCCAAGGCCAGGAGGCTTTTCCCGCTGCCATCAGCGAACGCTCCCGGGTAGCTGTTCTGGAGAGAGGTGTCCAATAGCTGACCAGCCACGACCCCAGGGGGAGCTGTGAAAACCAGTGCCCCAAAGTCTTACCAGATGATGCTACTGTGCCGGGGGCCCACTCCCACTGTGCGCCCTGCTGCGTTGAGGCTGTGCTGGCCCCAGGAGTCAGCACTCAGATGAGGGGAATACACCAAGAGCTTGTTTGTCTGACCAGTATTTCCTCTGGTTCTGCTCTGCTGTGGAGGGCTGAGGGCTGCTTTACTGTGTGGACTCCACCCGCTGATCTGATACACCTCGCCCACCTGCTGGGAAGTTACCTTCCTGCACTGGCTCAGCAGGGAGCTCCAACGTCCTGCGGTACATGGATACAGGTTTAAAGCTCCCAAGAGCAGAGCTGCAGCCCCGAACGGCTCGGTCAGTGGGTGTTCTCGGCTCCCCTAGTGTGGTGCTCCGCAAGGACCACGCCGTGACATCGTCCACTGCTGCTGTAGTAGCACGCCATGGGCTAATGCCCTTGTTCTCTACCTGCTCTCCCAAACCGTCTTTCCCCATCACCACTCCGACAGCTTCCTGTTCTACTGTAACTGGCCCAGAAGGGCGGCTTTCTTCCTCCCAGCGCTGGCTGCATTTCAGACGTGTGTGTGGTCGCAGGTCTCCCCCTGCTCACGTAGCCTGGAGAGTTTCCTTACATGGGCAAGTACTGATATTAACAAGATGTGATTTGTGCTTTGGTGCGGCTGCTCGGTGAAAAGGAGCGATTGCTCACCATGCTGGGGTCTGAGCTGCTGGGCCTCAAGGAAGCGGCATGGACTGGGTGCAGGTGTGGAAATAGGGACTTGGTTCCAGGGGTGAAAGTAAAATTGAACTCTTACAGGGGCTGCCTCTGTGCCCCTCCCCCAGAAGGGGCGGGGCCTTGGGCGGAAGGGGGCAGGGCTGGGGGTCAGCATCCCCCAGCCAGCCCCTCCAGGCTGCCTGGCCCGTGCTGCCCGGGGCTCCAGCCGCTGCTGTGGCAGCACTTTAAAGTCAGCTGTACAGGCCGGTACCGGCGGCCACTTTTTGCCGGTACGCCGTACTGCCCCGTAACACCTTACTTTCACCCCTGCTTGGTTCCGAGTTCCAGTCCCAGCGCTGCTGGGGCCTCCCTCCTTGGGCAAGTCCCTGGGGGTGTGAGTAAGTGTGCCACAGGCCTATCGCTCAGGCAGCCGCTTGCTTCCCTGGCTTGGCTCCCCCCGTACGGTGGAATGGCCGCGGAGCATGCTGGGAGAAGGACACCGCTCAGACCCAAGGTGGAAAAGGGCCCCAAGTGCTGTGAGGTCATCTGTCTAATCCCTTCCCTGGCGCTTTGAATGCGCTACCCCCATGCTGCTCTCTGCAGTGTGATCCAAAGACCTGCCAGGAGAGGGAGCGCAGGCAGGGAATACGCTGAAAGAGGAAGTTGCTACAGCTGTCTTAACCTCAAGCACTTCTGTCAATAAAAATACCGTTCGTGAGGTAGCAGTGGTAGCTGCTGCAGGGTCTGCAGCTGTGGGAACCTGTACTGGGGACCCTCAGTCCTGGAGTGGCCCACTACACCGCCACCTTTGCATCCCTGCCTCAGTTTCCCCTAGTGGGCCACAATAAGTCCAATGAGGCTTATTTATATTGAATGGTGCCCCTTGGGGGCTCTGCTTTGTTTAACCCCCAGGTGGAGCAGTGTACAAATAGGCATCCCCCTAGCAGCTCCAGCTGGAAGGGGTGGGGGGCTGAGTTAAACCTTAGTCCAGGTCCCTTACCAGCAGGCACCTCTTGTCTCAGCAGGGGAGGGGTCTCTCCTTTTGGGTCACGGTCCCTACAGAGGTTAAAGTGCAACGACCTTCCAGACAGCCCGTGATTCTGGTGCTCTGGGGCTTTTGCTGCCACCCGGGGAAGGCCGGGGGGGGGGGGGGGGGGCAGGCTCCGCTGAGACTCGCTATTCATAGCGTCCCCTGTTCAGAGCCCTCTGTCTCCCCCAGCAGCATTCTTCCTTGGGGCCTTTTCCTGGGGAGCCGCCTTGAGATGCCCTCCCCTTGGGAACTTTCTCTTTGTGTGGCCCGGGGACTGTTCCTTTTCCAGGAGCCTCTGTCCTCTTAGGTCCCGCCCCCAGGCGTAGCCTGTCTGAGGTAGGCTGAGCCCCTGCCCCTTTCAGAGGGTCCGCTACCCTCTGTCAGAGCCCTCTATGGCCTCTCGTTTGAACGAGCCCTTGTAAGCCAGCGCTCTAGCAATGGGCCCACCCGCCGCATGGGCCCGTTGGGAGATTCTGCTGTGCAAGGCAGAAACAGGCTGCTGGAGCTGTCCTGTGATGGGAGAGGGGGAAAGGACAAAGCCACGTGAGCCCCAGCCACTGCCCTTCTCTCAGACCACCTCTGCGAGGCTGCTTGCAATCACCACTAGTCCATGGGGCCCTCTGCTGCTGCCCACTCTCCGGGAGCTGGCGGGCAGGAGGGACAGGAAGGCGGAGAGGCAGGGCAGGGCACTGCACTGCTTTGGGTTGGCTGGCAGTGCCCTTGTACTGAGGGCCTGGGTAGGTGGCTTAGCCAGCCCGGCCATTGGCATGAAGAACCCAAAGTGACGGGGTTACTCAGTCCCTGAACACAGTGCCAGGGCTGGGTACCCACTGCTGCTGCTGGCAGCGAGGCATGGTGCAAACAGGACATTCCCTGCCCGGATGCTGCTGGCTGAGTTCCAGCGCTGACTGGCCCCGTAGGCTCCTTTGTCAGGGGTCCGTTTTCCGGGTTGGTGCAGGTCTCGGGCTCCTGCATGCAGGGATGGCAAAGCAACTCGGGGTCAGCGGCATCGGGCGAATGATGGCTGTCCTGCTACGCGGGTGATTCCCTCCTCAGTTGATGCTCAGAGCTCTGTCGTTCCCATGGACCTGCCACGGCGTCGTCTCACCTGGATGGGCTGGTGCCTCTGTCCCTGCACCCTGGTGATGTGTCCCCTGGTGCCACGTGCTGCGCTAGCCCCTGAGGATCACGCGGGATTGGTTTACACGCTAGCCAAGCCGACCGTTCCCACGGAGCCCATTGCTCCACCTGGCGCTGAGAATTGGCGTCTGGAATGAGGGTGCTGCCCACACCTGTTCTGTGGGACTCAGAGCGCCCCCAAAGGCCATTGTGTGTGCAGTAAGTGTGGCACCCAAGGGCTGAGAAGGTAAGAGTACGGTAGTGCTTGTTAAGCCAGAGGTGGGCATGGGGCGATTTCTCATCACTTGTGTGACATCCCCAAGGGAAAAACCCACCTGGCGGTGAGCAAAACCTCCGTGACTACCCAGGAAACCCCCAGGGACCATGCTCCCCTCCCCTTCCAGCAGGGTTTTGGCAGAGGCTGCAGCAGTTGGGCCAGTTAGCCCCGGGGCGGGCAGGCAGGATGCCCTGTGGTCCCATCCGAGCATGTGAGTGGCTCTGGCGCTGGGAGGAAGTGATGTCATCCGGCCACAGGCCGGGCCCAGGAGTCGCCCGATGACAAAGCAACGAGAAGTGAGAGATGAGCAGCCAACCC